GCCACTGCGCTCCAGTCTGGGCGACAGAGTGAGACTCCAACTCAAACAACAACAACAACAGCAACAACAACAAAAACCTTCAAAAAAGAAAAGAAAGAAACATTTCCAGGCCAAATTGATATCACTGATGAATTTTATCATACATTGCAGGACAAAATAACGACAGACCAATATCCCTCATAAATAAGAATACAAAATTTGTAATAAAAATAGCTGTAACCCCAGTCTCTTCCAGAAAGCATAGTACAGTACTAACAACTGGGGAGCACGCAGGAATGGAAGGATGCTTCCAAATGTTAAAATATTTTGCTATAAATTGCCACAATGACAGATTTTAAAAGTCATACGATCATCTCAATAAATAAATAAATAAATTGACAATGTTAAGAATTAGAACAATAGCCGGGCTCGGTGGCTTAGTCTGTAATCCTGTGCCTTTGGGAGGCTGAGGTGAGTGGATTGCCTGAGCCCGCGGGTTCAAGACCCGCCTGGGCAGCGAGACCTCATCTCTACAATAAATAAAAAAATCAGCCGGGCGTGGTAACACATACCTGTAATTCTGGCTACTCGGAAGGCTGAGGTGGAAGGATCGCCGGAGTCCAGCAGGTGGAGGCTGCGGTGGCCGGGAGCGGCCACTGCACTCCAGTCTGGGTGACAGAGTGAGACTCCAACTCCAAAAAAAAAAGAATTAGAACAATATTCAGAATTACTGACAAAAATAATGAATATAAATAGAATCACAATTTCAAACTTTAAACTTTGTTACAAGGCTACAGTAACCAAGAAAGCTTAGTACTGCCACAGGAACAGACACATAGACCAATGCAGAAGGGAATCTTCTTAACTACAAAAAGAGTATCTTTTACATTATATACCTAATATTTTGCATAATGATGAAATATTATGTGTTTTCTCCCTTAGATTGAGAACAAGAAAGGAATGTGTTCTACTATCAGTTCAATACTATATAATATTGGATGTCCTGGCTATGTAATAAGCAGTAAATACATACATAAAAAGATAAATAAATATAAAAATTGAAAAAAATATATAAAGATTGAAAAATATATAAATTTTAAAAGTGGGGTTTTTTGCTTGCAGATGATCTTGTTATGTGCACTGATAATTACAAGATATTTATAAAATGCCTAGTAGTAAGTGAATTTTTCAAAATAGAAAGATATAAAATTATTATAAGTTAAGCATATACTGACTGACCCTAAAACCTGTCAGTTCTACTTTAAAGTATTTAGTCCTCCCACAAAAAAAGAAAACATGTTATCGGTTAAAATGCTTCCCCAAAAATATATGTTGAGTTGTAATATCTATTGTCTCTATATGTGACCTTGTTGGGAAATAAGAGTTTTTGTAGAGGTAAATAGTAAAAATAAGGTCATTCTGGAGTAGGATGGGACTTTAATCCAATGCCTTTGGTATCTTTATAAGACAGAAACACACAGGAAGAAGATAGTCATATGACAACAGAAGCAGAGGTAGGATCCGTACGTCTGTAAGTCAAGGAACAGCAATAATTGTCAGAAAACACAAGGAGCTAGAAAAAAGGAGAGGTTCTCCTTTCAGGTTTTGGAGAAGGCATGGCTTCCTTGATACTTTTATTTTAGACTTTTAGCATTTAAAACTCAGAACAAATGATTTTTGTTTTCAGACACCCAGTTAGTGGTGTTTTGTTGTAGCAGATCTAGAAACTTGTTCACCATTACTGACAAGAAAATCTATATGCGGACATTTATGGCAGCTTGATTCAAGATCTCCAAAAAGGATAATTAACTCAAGTATTCTTCAATGGGTGAATGGATTAAAAACAAAACAAAAACAAATAAACCAAACCTGTGGCACCACTATAGAGGTATTACAATCAAAGAGGAAGATGATAGAATCATTGTCCATTGTTAGGGTGGTATCCAAAGCTAGAAATATTTAAGCAACTAATATATAACGAAATTCAGTTTATATGATGAGAACTGGTTCATTTTTTATTGGGATAAAATTATGAGTTGGTATTAATATAGATAAAGGTACACATTTTTCTTATAGATCTACTGCGATGATAAATACAGAAGGGTGAAAGTACCAGGAAATCATTATTAGCACACCAAAGTCCTAATTATTGTGGGCATTATTCACTGATGAATACTAAAATTACTAGGAAGGTATTTGAGGAGAAGTAAAGTAATTTCAAAATATTTTTCGGATAATTTTATTAACAACAAAAAGGAAAATAGTAGCTTTGCAATAGAGAAAGGTAGAAGACCTCACCTAATTAATCAAGACTTTTAATCACCCTTCATAAAATAGGTACCCCTGATATGGTAGCTAAAGAAAGGGAGATGAATTCTGAGTTATTTTTGTGAAAAATGTATAACCTTCATCTAATTATGAGAAAGCATGAGACAACCCCAAATTGAGAGACATTCTATCAAATAACGAGCTAGTCCTATACAATAGCATCAACTTCTTGAAAGATAAAGATATTGAACTGTGTAGTAGCCACAGGACACATAGAAATGAAATGCAATATGGAATTCCAGATTCGACAGTAAAAAGGAAAAGAACATGAGTGGAGAAACTGGTGAAATTCAACTATTGCTTGTACTTTAGGAAACTACATTATAGCAGTTAATTTCTTAGTTTTGAAACAATACCATTACTTGGGCTTTATATAGGATTTAACACTACAAGAAGCTGGGTGAAGGTCATATAGAAACACATTGTACTGTTTTTGCAATATCTTTGTAGTCCAGAATTATTAAAATATGTAATTAATTGAATAGTGGGAAAATTATCAATGCTAAATTTGGCGAAAGTGATGATGGTGCATATCAAAATAGCACAACTCTTTACTATGTATGAATATTCTGATGTTTGTCTTCTAATTTTAAAAAGTAAAAGGGAAATATATATGAATGTTTTACACATATGTAAAATTTAATTAGCTAAAACTTATATTAACACTAAGGAAATTTCATCTGATGAAGATGGAGTGACCTAACTTTGTGGGTCTAGAAGTGATTAAGAAAAATAACGAATATTACACATTACTGCTTATATCACATTATACTTTCTAGCATATTCACTCTTCCTAGAGGCCTACATCTATTTTCTATCTGTTTTTATTTTTTATGGGACCTAAACCTGTTTGCTGTTGACTGTGGCTCTTCTTCCTAATTTCTAACAAATGCTTTTAAAAATATTAGAAACTATGAATTCCTACCAAACTTTTAATAGACTTTATTTAGAATAATATTTTATACAAAAAGGATTAGATGTTTAATTCAAAATAGTAACTGTTAAAAAATTGCTTAATTTTGCTAACAAATCTATGAAGTAGGAAATGCAACCACTTGTATTTTAGGAAAATGCTTATAAATGTTTTAAAATGAGTACAGTTAAAACTGAATTTCTCCAAAGCCTAACTTTTTGTAATTTCTATTTAATCCTTCTCTGAACACCATGCTACAAATTAGTATAATATTTTTAGAAACCTTTCAATTCAAGATTAAAATATTCTCATCTTTTGCCACATAATTATGGCAAACCTCACTGATATCTCATCAAAGTCTTTAGGACTATACATGCAGTGAGAAGCCATTATGGAACTCTAGTTATTACTCCTCTTTAATTTTTATTATTAATCATTTGCAAGTAGATGAGACATGCTGAGTACTTCAAAGACTTCTTTCATTATGAAGTTTGAGATCATTTTTCAGATTTTTACATGAGGGAATTTTGTAACTTGGCTGCCTTTCATGCATGATCTAACATATTGAAGCTAGTATACTTTAATTGTGGAATGAATATATATACACATATATACATACACACACACACACACACACACACACACACACACACACACACACACATATATATATTAGATTCCTAATTCCAGATTCCATATTTCAGAAAATTGTCTGATTCTAGAAATTATTTAGATCTTCTGAAAGAATTAAAAATCTATATGCTATGTAAAGAGAATTTTGTTTTTTATAAAAGTGTTTCATTCAAGCCAGCAGAAACAAACTGTAATGTGAAAGATACCAGTAATAATCTAGGCTGAGAATATTTTTTACTTTGTTTGAAAAAATAATTTAAAAGGTTGATAATCATTGTTATCCTTACTTATTTGCACTTCTTTTCACAAATGTCTTTTGCCATTTCTTTTTAAGTAAGTCATTCTTCTATTAAACATTTTTTTTTTGACATGAGAATGAGTGACGTGTTTAGATTTCACATCCATTAATTTAAAACTGAAGTCACTGGGTGCAGTAGTTCACGCCTATAATCCCAGCATTTTGGGAGGCTGAGGTGACAGGATTGCCTGAGCCCAGGAATTCGAGACCAGCCTGGGAAATTTGGTGAGACCTCAACACTATAATAAACCAAAAATTAGTTGAACTTGGTGGCACGTGCCTGTAGTTCCACTTATTTGGAAGGCTGAGGCAGATCACCTAAGCCTGGCAGATCTAGGCTGCGGTGGGCGTGAGCATGCCACTGCAATCCAGCCTGGGTGACAGAGTGAGAGACTCCAATACAAAAAAAAAAAAAAGGGAAGAAAGTAGAATCTTTGCAAACAGGAAAACCAACAGCTCTTCATTTTTTCTCATTCTCTCTCTCTCTCCTACACACACACACACACACAAACACACACACGTATTCACACATACAAACACACGAAAAAATAAAAAATTGAAGTCATTTTAGTTTTTCTATCTCCACTGGGTTGAATTTTAAATATGAGAATAATATTTTGAAAACTGCTCAGCATTATATTAAATATGTAGAGTATGAATTTTATAATTTAACGTATTGCTTTAAAATAATGTTATGTAACAATCATATTGAGAAGATAATATTAAGAAGTACTTTCCTTTTGGTTCAGGTATTCTATAACTAGAAGCAAAATGTTCAATATTGATGACAATGGCACAATCACCACAACGAATCCACTTGACCGGGAGATCAATGCTTGGTACAACTTAAGTATTACAGCTACAGAGAAATGTAAGTCCTCAGTTGGGAACTATACAGTTGGTGGATACACAAAAAACCCCACAATGTATTTATTTAAAAAGTGTATTTATTCTTACATGTTTAAACTTCAATCACAAAGTATTATTAATACCCTCCATTTGGTGCAATACACCCATCGAGATGCTTTTTCCATCTCAATGGAAACAGTTTTTGAACTTCTCAGCTCAAAACAGTTTTTGAACTTCTCAATTTTGATGCCTTTTAGTGCTTCTGGAGGTATTTGTTTCACCTCTTCCACATGGGCAAAACATTTCCTGTGAGGACATTTTTCATCTGGGGAAATGGAAAAAAAATCACTTGGGGTGAGAATGGGGGAATAGGGAAAGTGGGGCATGGGAGTCACTCAGCGGGTGTGGGCAAGTGCCTTGTAGTGGTGGAATAACCAGTTACCTGTTTGCCACAGCTCAGGACGTTTCCATCACAAATCGTTATGCAATCTTCTCAAAACTTTGAGATAAAAACTTTGATTAACCATTTGATCTAGAGGAACAGATCTGGAGTTTACTGCAAGAAGCTTGCGCTCCTAAAGATAATTCTGGGTTTTTTGGATCCCCCTCATATAAAGCATGTCATAATTTCTAAACATGGAGACAAGGCTTCTTAAAAATATTGTTGGAATAAGATTTAAATGATCTTTTACACATTAATGTATGCACATGTGTATTTTATTTTTCATTTTAGATTAATATTTGCTTATGCCTGCTATAGCTTATTTATATGCTTACCACTAAATATGTCCTGAGATATTTTTCTTGTTATAACAGCAAATGATGTATAAAACAAAAATAAATTGAGGAAACCACAAACTATCAATAAAATTTGCCTGATATTCTAAAACCCACTTGTTATATAGTTATATGTTTGCAATATTTTCCAGAGATATATGTTCAAATCAATTTTTTAAACATACATTTTCTATAAGTTCCTTTTCAAATGATTAGTTTAATTTAAAAAAGAAGACTGTTGTATACTTTCAAAAAAAAAAAATGTATTCACTCTGTAAAGACAACTCCGGGTAGAAAGAAGCTATAATATTTATTCCATAAAGCAACATTTTCAAATTAGAGATGTGCTTAGGTAATGATGCACATTGTTTTACTAGTAATAAACATCATTATTAGTTTGTAAAAAAAACGAATCTAAAAGTCAAATATAAGATGCTTGTGCCTCATGGTATATCTAGGATAGAATGTTAAAACGATTCCAGCACATTAAAATAAAGTAATCGCCCAAGTAAGCCTTTTAACACATCATCACTTAAAATCAAACATAGAGTAATGAAATTATGGTAAATAATCCCTTCTGGGAGCACAGGCAACGATGCGCCTGGGATTCCAAGCTAAGCAGGGTCGCTGCGGTTTAGCGCTTGGAGGGGAGACCTTCCGCCAGGGGAGCGCCGCCCCGCTCCAGGCCCTCCCTTGCTTTAAAGCCGGGCTCGGTGGTTCAGCCTGTAACCCCGCGCCTTTGGGAGGCTGAGGTGAGTGTGGATTGCCTGAGCCCGCGGGGTCGAGACCCGCCTGGGCAACTTGGCGAGACCTCATCTCGACAATAACTCAAAAAATGAGCCGGGCGTGGTAGCGCATGCCTGTAATTCCGGCTACTGGGAAGGCTGAGGCGGGAGGATCGCTGGAGCCCGGCAGGTGGAGGCTGCGGTGGCCGGGAGCGGCCACTGCACTCCAGTCTGGGCGACAGAGTGAGACTCCAACTCAAAAAAAAAATAATAAATAAAATAAAATTGCCATCACACAATATAAGATTACCAAAATCATTGCCACTATTTAGTCAATGGATTTTTTTTTTTACTGTAAAAGATTAAAATTGTGATTATAAAATATCCTAGCACATACCCTTTCTTATAACTAATTTGGTATAGAATTTCGATTATCTCATTCTCTTTTTGGCATTTTCTAAAGACATGAAACATATCTATCTTATTTCTCACTTTATTGAACGATTGACCGGTGATATGGTGAAGTGGAAAGCATCTCATTTTTTGCAATGCACTGAATAGCTCTAGGAAAACACTGCAAGGGAACTTAGGCCTAGATTTTGAATGTTCTGTTTAACTAAACAAAAAAGGATGAGGAGCAAATGTTACAATCGAATAAATGTCTGTTGCAACAGAGAAAATGTCAAGGTTTTTCTTGTCAGAAAACATAAATATGTTTATTCTAACAGCAAGTCTTTATTCGTTGCATATTTCTGAGATTTTTTTTAAGGGAAAATTGTTTAGAAAAAGCTTTTGTAACAGTGGATAAGCAATTTTCATGTATTTTTTTCATTCACACACAATTTTTTAAAAGATGGTATGATTGAAGTCATTTTAGAAGTATCTTGGGGAAAATATGAATAAGTACCAATTTCTTACTACCGTGATATTAATATTGTACCAAAAGTAATTAAGTTTGGGCATTTAAGCTACGATTGTGATGTAAACAAACCACCTGACCAGTGAAAAGCAAGGCATCACACAAGTTAGTCCTTGTTTTAAAAAGCACTAACTGCATGTGCTAACTACCTCATTGAAAAGCTTTTGCCATAGCCATTATGCTGATCATAGGAAATAGATGTTCCATTTTAACATTTGTTTTTTTCCAGCAAATGAAGTTCATTGTGCTTAGTTTCTTTCCTGGAAAGTTTGCCAAATTAAGCCCAAAACTATTTATCAGTATGCCAGCTAAATAAATGAAACTACTAACTCCTTTAAAGTGAAGCTGTGGAGATATATGTATGTTTTATACAGTCAGGTCAATGGTTTAATTGGAACTTAATTTTAAGCAAAGTTTTCAGACAAACAGATAAAAACTTTACATAAATTTCTTATTAATTTCTTTTCAGTTTATTCATGTCTTAAATACTTTGTACAACTTACTTTAGCAAAAATATAGTCTGTGATGATACATTGTGTTTAAATCGCATGAAATATGAATCTTAAATTTTTTTCTATAATTCCATCTTGAAATCTCTAGAATTTTTTTGAATTTAAAATATTTTGATCATCTCTTATTATCCAAAATGTAACACAGATGAAAAATTTCAAAATGATGATTCCTAAAAGTTTCTGTATTTCCTATAGGCCATAGATTTGTGTGTGTATAATCTATCTTGCAAATTTTAATTTTTCATTAATTGAAGGTAGCAATTTATGTTAAAATTGTAACTGTTGTTTATTAAGGAAATATAATTGTGAACAAAATCTCACCCCAACCCAGGAAACCTCTCCACAGAGAGGGAATAGAAAGAAAACTTTTATCATTGAAAAGAACTAAATACAATGTGATGTGCATTATAGGAATTCTACTAAGAGATTACTGAGATAGAAAGGAATCTTACCTTTTTATATAGTCAAACAGATATAACCCATTACATATGTGTTTTCAAGCTAAAAAGTATCTAGATGTTAAGTAAGAGGACTTAACATCATTTGTCACACAAAATTCAGCCCAAATTCAGTGGGTACTTGGAGTCACCACCTGTGTTTGTTATTTGGCTTTATTCAAAGGAAAACTAAATTTTCCATATACCTGGAGTTATGACAAGTGGTGGTTTCACAACTTGAAACAAGGTCTTTCCTGGTATGTCTTCTATCCCTCCACAGGAAGTAGGCTATAGGGATGCCGTATTCCTTGATGACTATATTTCTAAGAGATGTTCCCCAGTATCCAGAAGGACAATCTTGAGTTGTAAAGTTTGCAAATGATGTATTTAGATTTTAGGAGATTCACACACACTTCAAAGAAGCAGAAAAAAGAACTTACAACTAGTAGTTTTTTTAAAAAAGAGAACACTCTAAGAAAATAAAGAAAAAAAATTCCTTTATTTTTGACAGGCAGTATCAACTCTCTTACTTCTAATTTGTATTCTTCTTACAAATTACCATTACAAATAGCATGGAGATTAGAAGTAAAAACATTGATACAACTACAAGAATCCTCCACCCTTTAGTTGAATGCAACTTTCCACAGCTTTTTTAAAGAAAGGGAGAAAGATTAAAAATAATAAAATAAAAATGTACTATATATTATGCCATAACTTTTTAAAATTTTATCAAACATATGTCTTCTGAGTTGATATAATAAATTAATTATATTTAACATTTTTTTGCTCACATGTTTAAGTAATATTTTAAGTGCTTTATATATCACCATTTAATCTTTACAACAGTTCTATAAGGTGGTTACTAGTATCACTCCCACTTTATACCAACTGAGGCAAACAGTGATCAAGCATTGTTCTCCAATTGAGAACCAAGATTCAAACCCAAGTTTTTCAGTTTTTGCGCTTACGATAATAATATGTCACATTGACTCATTTATTTTCATAAATCCACAGAATGTCATATATCAGCTGTAATCTATTCTTCCCAATTCTTATACATTGTACATTTGAGTTACTTCCAATTATTTGGATGTGATGCAAACAACACTGGAATGAATATAATTGCATCACTAACTCATATAGCAGCATCTCGGACTAGAGCTTACTCTTCCTAAAATGTGTCATAAACATGTACAGTGTAAATCTTATTGTCCACTGCTGAAGTAGGTTGCAATAAAGCTTTATATCCCCTTTTCAGTATTCTTCCATCACTGGGTGCTGTTCTATCTATCACATAACACAAACTGAATGAACTAAACTATTGTTCTCCTCACTTCTGGCGAGAGTCCTTGTGAATATCATGATAGACAAATACGTTTGAACAGGGGAAAACTTCGCCCAACCTTTTCCCCCTCGCTTGCTTCCACCAGAGTACATTTAACAATGTCTGAAGATGGCTTGCGTTGTCGCCCTGGAATAAAAGTGTTTTATAGGCATTTAATGCACAAAAGTCAATGATGCTGCTAAGCATCATATAATGCACAAGACAATTCACCACAACAAATAATTACCCAGTCCGAAAAAGTCAACAATGATGAAGTTGAGAAACCCTGTTATAAATCCTTAAATATCAACTTCTGTGAATTTCTAGTTAGCAATTTTGTTTCCCGAAATCTCTTTTTTATATCAATTATAGATTTAAATATCAGGTCTATTAATATTTCAACTTGTGATGCTAATATTTTCCCAGATTAATGTTTTGTTGCTACTTTGACTCTTTAAAAATCATTTTTGCCTTAAATTTTTTTTTTTGAGTCAAGTTTCATTTCTGTCACTCAGGCTGGAGTGTAGTGGCACAATCACAGCTCATGGCAGCATCAACCTCCTGGGTGAAGGTGATTCTTCTGCCTCAGCCTCTCAAGTAACTGGTACTACAATCAAGTATCACTACGCCTGGCTAATTTTCAGATTATTTTGGAGACAAGTTCTCACTATGTTGCCCAAGCTGGTGCGGACTCCTGAGATCAAGCAATCCTCCTGCCTTGGCCCGACCAAGGGGGGAAAAAAAGTTTTTAACCATAATTTTCTTTGATTGTAGTTTGTGAATTTCTTGGTTCACTTAAAAAACCTTCTCAGCTCAATGTTGGCAGCAATTCTCCTGACAACACCCGACCAAGAAAATAAAAAATTTAACCATAATTTTCTTTGACTTTTTGATTGCAGTTTTTGAATTTCTTGGTTCATTTAGAAAACCTTCTCAACTCAATATTTCCATAAAAACTTTAGTTTTTAAAAAATATTATTGTATTTTAAAATATATTTAGATTTTTATTCCATATTCATTTTTGTTTTTATAAACTGTAGAATCGATCCCTGAAAGTATAATCTCTCATTTTTGCTTTTAAAAGCTAAACTCTAAATTTCAGTGGTTCAGAGCAATAATTACCATTTCTACTTCAGCTTTGATCTTATGCAAGTCAATTAACTGTAATTTTTGAGACTAAATGGTCTATCAATGTCTTCATTAGTATAGTTGAGAAGGATGGTAATATATATATATATTGATCAGGATAAAATGAGTGAATACAAGTACTTTCAATAATTTCTGAACTTTAGCAAACTGTATGTACCTGACTATTCTTGTACTACTTTTTCTAATCAAATATGATAGTCTATAGCAGATATAATGCACTCAATAAATATTGCTGGAGTCGAATATATTGAACACAGCATTTTATTCTAGGCTATATTGTTGATAAATGTGGGAATCATATAGAGGTACTTTCTCAGATAGCTTTTTTAAAGTAAAATAAAAATATAACACAAAGCCTACAATGCAATTGTTAGATGCTTTTTAAAAATATGATATTAAAATATTTTAAAATTTTCATTCTGTATATTCAATTTGCAGACAATGTACAACAGGTCTCTTCAGTCCCTGTGTATGTGCAAGTTCTTAATATTAATGACCATGCTCCTGAGTTCTCTCAGTACTATGAGACTTATGTTTGTGAAAATGCAGGCTCTGGTCAGGTAAGAACACATAGTAAATTACCAAAGTCTAAACAATATATTATTGTGTTATATATTCTATGTTGTTTTTTATTTAATATATAACATTGTTATCGATGATGTATTATTAACATAGTGATATATAATAATATATTTTACTTTTTATAACATAATATTTTATTGTAATTTATATACAAATGCCATATATAAATTAATATTATAATTTTTGTTATATGTTCATACCATTTTGGAATGTTTAAAAATGAATTCATTTAAGCTATATTAATTACATGCTTTTATATTGTGAATGCTGTATAATATTTAAAAATTTTAAAATAACATGTAAACTTTAAGGTTTCTACTTTCAAATTCCTCAAATGTTTAAGAAATCTGGTAACACAAGGCATTTAATGGTTTATTTTTGTAGCATATTTATTGTTCAATAGTTCATCTACCCTTTGTCAATAGAATTAATATTTTGTTATTCTGTGAATTAAACAATCATAGTTTAGTTACTTTTTAAATTCATTATAAAGATAAAGGTAAAATGGCGCATAAGCATAAACTTGGAGGGGAAAGCACTGGCATTTTTTCCATAATTTATAATCACTGTATAGATAGTAACAAAATTAAAACATAGCTTTATACGAGTTACTAGATAAGTAAGAATTTATGAGAGCATACTCATTTTGAAATATACTAGCAATACTTTATAATTTATTTCACACATTTTCTCCTCTGAAGCTCACTTATTTGTAAAACATGAACTTTAAATTAAATTGTTACTTATGTACACCTAAGCTCTCTTACATAACAATTTTACATCAATTTTAGGGGTCCTTAGAGACTATAGAACACCATTATAACCATAGGCTATTTATTTTTAAAAATTGTATAATCTAGTTTTCATAATACTGAAAAAGTAGTATAAAGTCACTATAAACTCAATAAATCTGACTAGCCTTAAATTTACCAATGAAGCTAGTCAGAAACCACTTGGATTTTACAAAAGCAGAAATTATATTAATTTACCAATAAATACTAGGAGTGAAAGTTATGTTTTATTTTCAATTTCCAAATTTGGTAAGGAATAGCATATTTTAAGAAATAAGTATATCTTCATTGTTGCTGATTATTCAACTATTGCATAGTGGAAACTGTCAATAGTTCTTAAAATGTTTAGTGAACTTTATTCAGTTAAGTCTTTGCTACAATAAAATTTTATACTGGAAATAACTCTCAAATATTGCCTATAAATCTCTTAAAAATATTTTCAAGGATACTAATTCATGGTTATAAATATACAAATGACTTTTGAAAATTAAAGTATTCATTTATAATGGGTTAGAATGCATGGTTTTTTGAGAAAGTGAAAGGTGAATATAAAACTTTCACGGACTCTGTAATGTGTTGTGCTGATAGCTAGAATCAAAACTGAACTAATTTAAAATTTATGAACATAGAATATAGGGTAGAAGAAACCACAACTACAGAACACATGTGAACTGGGAATCATGGCTCCTATAGAAACTAGGCTTCACCATTTCTCTGAACTTGGTAGCATGAGTGGATTTTGTACCTAGAAATTTGACATATATAATGTTCCCAAGCATCATAAACACATCTGGTTACTTAGACACACCAAGAAATATAATAAGCAACTTTTAAATATAACTTATGTAAACCTAACAGATTATACTTTAAATGTAAACCGGTTTTCTTCAAATATAAGTAATTTTGGAAATGATGTATCTTATAGTTTCTAATAAATATTAAATGTACTTATTACAGGCAAATTGTATTTTTACCATTGTAATAAGTAAAATTACATTTTATATTTATTATAATTATATGCTTTATATTTAGATTTTAAAACTAATATAGTAAATTATTTTATATACTTTACATAAATATGAATTTATTTGGATTACCCATTGATTAGACAGCCTGTATTTGAACTTAAAATGAGACTTTTACTATATCTTCTATGCACTTATTTCTATAAATGTCACTCATGTTAAGTATATTTATTTAACAGAGTTATATATTCAGTGGTCTCAAATGGGTTGAGGTTATTGGGTAAAATATTTGGGAATACAGTATGTTTTTTGTAATAAGAAACTTGACATCTAGGCTAGGGCACTAGACTTGGTTGATAAATATTTCTAAGATAATGCTACCTAACTCCAGTGACCACAATGTACCTTTTATTGTAACCCCTCAATTGTTAATAATTACAATTGTAAATTGCAATGTTTATAATAATCTTTTTCTACTTTTGTATGATTTGAAAAGATGGACATATGCATTTCTAGTCGGAACTAGTTTTCTTCGCCTTTGCATTAGAATTTGTTCATATCTCTACTTAGTGAATGGAACATTTGTCTTGTCATAGATCTTAGCTTATAAACCACAGCTCAGAAACCAATATATTTGAAATACAGTGGGCTAATCACCCTTTTTGGGAATGAGTATCACTGCTAGTGAGCAGAAATTATGATTCTAGGACTTTAGGCACAGCAGAAGTAATGGCAGAGAGCAGAGAACATGAAATTTCCTATAGCACGATTCTCTAGCTTTGATGCCCAAAAATTCCAGTTTTTTTTTTTTTCCTTATACTAGCACATAAAAGTGCAAAAATTCCTGACCCGGTTGCTCTTTGATTTGGTCCCAATTTTATCTTTTAAAAAAATTGTTTTCTTGTTAACCATCTAAACTGCTTGTTTTTTAAAATATAGATCATGCTTTCTGCTTTATAGGTTTCTTCATATCAACCCTTATTTTTTGAAATGATATAATCTATTACTATTAAAATTTTAAATATAATTTAAAGTGAATTCAAATGCCACATAATCACCAAACCATTTTTAACAAATATATATTGTGTACAATGTTCCAGGCACTATTCTAGTAACATATAAACATTAACATCAGTTAATTCTTACAAAAAAATGAGGACATTATTTTACATGACTCACTTTACAAGTAAAGAAACTGAGTCTCAGAGAAGTGTTTCTTCCCAAAAATATGTAATTACTTTAACCCAAGAACAAGCATTAGAATCCTTGCATGCAACCATGATAATTTCCTGCCTCTGTCCCTGGTGTGCTCACGTGAATCTCTCTTATATTTTGTCAAATGTGTCATCTCTAGTTTTGCATGTTTTTAGATTATAAGATTCTTGTTGACTATAAGTTTGAATCAATATTTTTGATAATATGCAGGTTTGTTCTCAATAAAATCTACTTGAATAAGTGAACAGAGAATGAGAACACTATTTCTTTAAACATTTATATAGTACTTTATTTTTAAAATTAACCTTTTTTTTATATTTAAGTGCATAGAAACTCAAGTTCTTAATATGAACCAGATACACTATTTTAAGAAAGGTAGAAACAGATCAAAAAATCTTTTTCCTAGTCATGCTTTTAATTTGGAGTCCTCCTAAAGTCATCCTATTAGTTTAGAACATTATTTTATCCCTAAAGCTATAAACACTTCTCTGGGTCTTCAGTTCTTTACTTGTAAAGTGAGTCATGTAATATAAAGTCCTCATTTAATTCTCAAAAATATGAGTTTATTATCTTTAATATTTATAAGATATTATTATTTTTGAAATACTTAGAATTACTAGGGTCTCATCCTCCCGCCCTCCTTTCCTTTTGTTCTTGTGGCATCAAGCTGTTTATTGATTATATTGATAATTTTGTTTTTATTTTTATTGTTTGTTTTCTATTATTTTTTATTTCCACTCTCAATTATTTTCTGTCATCAAAATTATTTTTGCATTATAGAATATAGATTCTTTAAATACGTGAATATAGAGTTTAATGTTTAAATCATTTTTGTATATTTTTAAATGTTTGCATTTTTCCTATTGTGTTGCTTTTGCCACTGAAAGTCCAATTGTATGCATATTGAATCTTTTTGACATCTTACAGTTCACTTATCTTCTGTCTACCCCCCTTTTCTGGTGTTTCTTAATTTTTATTTTTATTTTAAAGATGTGGAGTACAATTCAGGATTAGGTAAATAAGTGGTTGTCATACAGGTAAAATTTGGGCCTTCCTTTGGTCCCTACTTCACCTGGTTTGAGATTATGTACACTTATCCATGTGTGTCTCACAGCACTCCCACCCCAGTAGTATCCCGCTATTGCCAATCCCATTCTTAAAGTATTATGGCAATGTTCAGAATCTGCTTATGAGTGAGAACATATGGTACTTTGTTTGTTTCTGTGATAGATCACTGAGTATGAAAAACTCTAAATCCATCCAAGTTGCTGTGAAGTCCATATGTTTGTCCTTCTTTTTGACTTCATAATATTCCATTGTGTATATGTACCACATTTTTTATTCAGTCCATTTTCAGTAGGCAGCACGGTTGATTCACGTTTTTGCTACTGTGAATAGTGCCGCAATAATCATGCATGTGCAGGTATCTTTTTTGTAGAATGATTTGAGTTCCTCCAGGTAAATTCCCAGCAGGGGAATTGCTGAGTCATACGGAAGGTCAATTTCTAGTTCTTTGAGAAATTGCCACACTGTTTTCCAAAGAGGTTGCACTAGTTTGCATTCCCACCAGCATTGTAGAAGCATTCTCTTTTCTTCAAATTCTCACCAGCATCTGTTGTTATTTGTTTTATTAATGATGCTCATTCCTACTGGGATTACGTGGTATGTCAATGTGGTTTTAATTTTAATTTTTCTGATGATTAGTGAGGCTGAGCGCTTTTTCATATTTCTTTTGATTGCCCATATCTCTTCTTTTGAGAAGTATCTATTCATGTCTTTTGCCCACTTTTGGAGGGGCCTATTGTTTTTGTTTCCTTTTGGCACGTTTAAGCTCTCTGTAGATCCTGGATGTTAAGACTTTGTTACATATACAATTGGCAGATATTTTTTCTCATTCCATGGTCTGTCTCCCTGATCTCTTAATGGTTTCTTTTGCCTTGCAGAAACTTTTCAGTTTGATGAGGTCCAACTTGTCTATCTTATCTCTTATGGTATGCGCACTTGGGA